GCTGTCACTGTGTCGTTGCATACTTTTCAGCGAGCTGCCTTTGTTGTTGCTGTTTGCAATTTCACACTCGACTGCATCGCTGCCGATCTGAATGTGAATCAGAAATGTTTGTGTGTGTGTGTGTGTGTGTGGACTTCGTCTTGCTAAGCATCTGCGAAAGAGGCGTGGTCGCTGCCCATTGCACTGTTGCAAATTTATTGCGCATATGAATGCACAGCCGCGTCTCTCTCTCTCACTTGCTCCATCTCTCTGACTCTCACTCTTACTCTCTGACCCCACTTTATCTCTTGGCGCCTTGCTTTGGCAGTCAGCGAACCCAGCCAATTGCTCGAAAATGACTTTTGGCACGAGGCAGTGGCAAAAAGCGCCAGCCAAAGAGCGTGCGTGGCACTGGCAAAGCATGATACTCAGAAAGCTGCAGCTGCAGCTGCAACTAGAACTATGACAGAAGGGGGCGCAGCAGGAGCAGGAGCAGGAGTAGGAGCAGGAGCAGCATCAGTTGCAGCTGAATCTGTACTTGGATGCTGCTAATGGACAATCGAAAACGCATTCAACTGACAATTTCGGTTTTTCCCAGCTCTCTCTCTCCGTCTTCCCCCTCTCCCACCCTACCCTATCTGTGTATGTCTGTTGGCAAATTGATTCTCCTTTACGGTCTGTTGCGGTTGCTTGGCAGCAGGCACTGTCAACAGGCGTCACCGCTACTGCCGCCACTAACCACCGCCAGGTGGCGCCCTCATTAAAACTGCACTGCCAACTCCTTCGCGTTGTCAAAAACATCCAAATGCGTGGCGCAGCCAAACTTGGAAAGAGGAAAACCAGCGAAGCCAGAGAAATCAGTTTGGCTTCTTGTTTTTGACTTGCATGAAAAACATTTGTTAATTGCTTTTTCAGACTTGCTGTGCGGAGAAGTGTGTGTGTGCGTGCGTGTGTGTGCGGGCAACTCGAACAAATGAGAGCAAAAGAACTATACACAAAAAAAAACAATAAAAAAATAACATCGTTTAAAACTGAAGTAAAAAGTATAAGCAATTATGCAAATGCCTGGGTGCAAAAGTATGTAAAATATATTCTTCTACATCATAAACAGAGTCTAAGTTAATTCTTGTGCCTAAAAGTATGAAGCAAAGAAGCAAAATATAACCAATAAACTCTCATACAATACAGTAATGATTAATAATTAAATAATTACAGTTATTAATATTAAAAAGTAGATATATTAAAAATTAATTAATCAAAATTATTAAAGTTAAAAAAATAATAATATAAAAAACTAATACATTGTAACTAAATATAATAATAAATTATTAAAAATATAAATATATATTTTTTAACATTAAAATATTTTCAAAAAAATATGAATGATAAAAAAAAAAAAACAACTGATATGTCTAGCAATAAATTAACAAAATACCAAATGGAATAAACTATCATAATCTAAGAATTCTGCCCGAGCCCATTCACAACCCACAGAAATACCACAGAATAAATGATATAAATAATTAAAAAAAAAACCTAAAACTAAAACTTTTTTATTCAGCAATATTCCATTCCGCTTAAAATCGATAAACTTTTGCTGGCTTTTACGTCTCATGCGCATAATTTATAGAATATCAATTCAATTCATGATGAACCCAAACGATTCATTCTGGCAAATAATTCTGATTCAGCTATTTCGTCCTTAGTCCCTCTCTCTCTCTCTACCCGTGCCACTCTTCTCCCCAGCAATTCGCACTCATCTTACGCAGAGAAACTTTTAAGTTTTTAATTAATTTGTTTTGCTGCGGCTCGAGACACAACGCAGCAGCAGCAGCAGCAGTGGCAACGGCAGTGGCAGCAGCTTTTCAACTCAACCACAACTTTTGCTCATTTTTCTCAGAGAAGAAAAGCAAAAGCATAAAAAAAGAGATGAAGAAGCTGAAAAAAAGGTTAAGTGTTTCCATTTGGCAAACATTTAGTCAGCCCCAAAGAGCTGCTCTGCCCCAAAACCCGCCCGCCCCCAACTCAAGGCCCAACGATAGGACCCAAGTGTGCGTGCGTGTGAATGTGTGTGTGTGTGCGAGTTTTAATAGGCTTTTGTGTGGAAAATAAATTGATGCGGTGCACCTGTAAAACGTTACAGCAATAGGCATGCCATGTGGAAAGCAAGTCGTCAGGGGGTATTGGCCAACGTCTGTCTGTGGGCTCTGAGGTCGACCGCATTGTAAACGGGCACCACTCAGCCACTCAACCTGAATTCGTGTTAATTTCGAGTAAATTGTTAAAAGATTGCCTGGTCTAGACAGAACTTCTAAGGACCTTTTTGAATATGCGTCTGGCCATGGGAACTTGAAGTAGAAACTACAAACTGTTCAAGCTTCAATTAGTTTCAATGGAGAATAATCAAGCGGTGAGTCTTCATTCTGAAGTACAGCAAATAGTTTTGGTCCAATATAAACTATTAATTCAGTGCAAACATATATTCTTTTCTCTTATCGTACTTTATTAGCCAGGCATATGGAAGAGTGAAATCTCACCCAAAGCCCGTAAATTCACGCAGTATATACGACATAGCAGCCGGATTGTCCTGCTGCACCAGATGGCCGGCGCGATACACCCAGAACATGCTGAAGCCCCCGCCCTGCTTCTCATAGCCCTCAAGCATGCCATCGATGCGCATGGGGCGACGTGTGGCGCTTACGTACAAATCCTTGCGATGCCATCTCATGCGATTGATCCAATTGACGGTGCCAGGTGTCGCGCACAGCAGATCCAGCATGCCCGAGTAGACGCCCACGCGCACCGGCGTCTCATTCAGCAGTCGCGTAACTGTGAAAGAAATATTGGGGTTAGCTCAAGTAGATGAGGTGATTGTTATAGAAATGCTATGCTATATATACTTCATTATTGTGAAAAGGTATATAGCTTAAATATGTTAACAAAGTAAATGTATAGAAAAATATTTTATGGCTGAAAATGCTTTAAAGCTATATAATTATTTTTTAAATATTCTAGTTTTCTATGCCTGCTTAAATTATTTAAAAGGAGGGAACTCTTTACTTAAAAAATATTTTCTGGCTGGTCTCTTTGCATTTTGTTAAGTATTATATCTATTAGCAAACTTAAAATAATTTACAAGTTCGCGTTTCTAATTCTCTTTTCTCTTCTCTAATTCTCTTTTATCAAGCAAGTCTTGAACAGAATTAGTTTACTTCTTTGAATGAATTAAATATTTATACACTTATAGAAGCTGAATTTAATTTCAAGAAACTTTTATCCTGATTCAATATATGCTACCGATTCGTTATGGAGAATAGACAATTGCAAATTTAA